CTTGTACAAAATCAGAGAACAGGCGGGTGGAACAGGTCCTGCATGAGCTGTGGGGAGTGAGAGGGAGGAGGAGGAGTTGGTACCAGTGAGAGGAGGGAAAAGGTGGGAAAAGGGGGTAGGAGGGTGAATATGGTGCAAATATACCATGTATATAAATGGAAAATGATACCTGTTGAAACTATTCCAGGAAAGGGGGGAGGGAGGGATAAAGGAGAATGGTAGAGGGGCTGAATATGATATATTTGATATATTATAAGAACTATTGTAAATGCCACAATGTACCCCCACCTAGCACAATGATAAAAATAAATTTAAAAAATAAATGTATTGTGGGACAAATTACAATATAAAATAATAAAATTTCCCAAAATAAACTGACAGTATGAGTGTGTGTGTGTGTGTGTGTCTGTGTGTCTGTGTGTGTGTATCATAGAGGATAACATAGAATGGGAATACGAAACATGCATGGATTCATAATTCAGAAATGTTTCCTACAATATATTGTATAACTATTATTTGAAAAAAATAAATATACGCTATGGTCAATCTTTCTTCTGTTTATCATACAAGCACACAAACATACACAGAACTAATTTAATTTATAATGAGCATAATTTTTAATAACTTTAGGTGAAAACATTGTATGGGTACAGCTTTAGAAATTACTCAAATACATGCACTATGAAAAAAGTGGTAGAAAGCATAAAGGTTTGATTTCTGCTAGAAATCATTCCAGGTCACTATCATAACAAAATCAATCAGTTGTGATCTGTGTTCAGTTTTAGAACACAATGCTAAAAATTTCATGGTGCCAAAATTAATACAGTTATTTTGTGTTCAGTTAATTGTACAGGATTAAACATTTCCTCTTACAACAGAATTTATCATTAATGACTACATCAACACGCCCTCTCTCATCTCTACTACTTACACAAGATTATAAGAAGGAAGATATTTCTAAATTGCCTATAACTACCATGTAGATTTCATAGATGCCATTTTAATGGTTACAGCAAGATTGGTTGAGTTTTGTACAATGATTTTAATGCTACTTTTATAGTGAGCATATTTTTAAGACAGGGAAAGACAGAGACTTCTTATGTTAAATTTAAAAGAAATTTTGAGAATAGAGAATGAAAAAATTATTGGTAATTTAAAGGCCCACATATGGTTTAGGAAAAACTGAAGTATTTAAAATCTGGTCTCAGTCTCAGAAACAAGGTCTTCCTTATTTCAAGAAGTTTAATAAATGAGTTTCCTAAGTGTGTATGGAAACTTTAACAATATTAAAATAAGGTCACAGCCATGGTCCTCCCTTTTAATTCATATCATTAAAATGTCCCTTTTTTAACTTTTTGCCTACTTATATTAAATCTAATACTCACTTGCACTACTTATGGCACTCATATACTAAATTTAATTTAAGTAAGTTTGTTATTCCTGGATCTTATTGTGTGACTATTTTTGTGAAAGAAGAATTGTACAAACAAAATCTACCTCATACATCTTTAATATGTAATTTAGAATTGAATGTACTCACAATCCAAGAAAGCTGAAAAGTTCAAAACATTGAAATCTAGACACATTTTGTTAGATGTATGTGGTACAAAGGAAAGTATCAAAGGTTTCCTAAAATATGCTAACAGCTTCAAATAATGCATAAATAAAGATAATAAATTCTTCAAGTAGCGATAAGTTAAAGTAGTTATGTGAAATACACATGGTTCTATTTTTCTGTAAAATTTCCTGCCATGTTTGTATAGAATATTTACATTAAAAATATTAAGGGTATAACATTGACAATCTTTCCTATATTTGTTTTATTACATACAAACATACACATTCATAAATGCTTTGATATATTAATCTTAGGTAAAAGACTTTCTAGATATATCATTACAAATTGCTCAGCTACATACACTATGAACAAATTGGTCTAAACTTCAAAATGTTACAAACTCCATCATTTAGTTTCTTTTAGAAGATACACCATATCCCTGTTACTGATCTATGAACTTGAAGAGTTCCATTCTTTCAGCTGGCCCCTTGCCCACAAAATAACTGACAGAAAGGCCTGTTTCTGCTTCTTGTTCCTGCCATCAGGACTAATAAATAGCTGAAGGATAGATAATTCAAGTAGCTTGGCAAAGCAAAGGGACGGGTTCACTCAGCGACCTATTTGAGCTCCAACCTGATACAATTGCAGGAAGAGTATGTGGGAAATGAGAAGAAGGAGCCCACAGTTTGTGTGGCCTTCATGTGAACTTTGGTGCTGGGATTTTGGGATCCTCTGTGATGGAGCTGTATCTTCCTGAGTAGTTCACTCAGGAAGTAGATTAGCATAGCAAGGATGTGATAAAGAGTGTAAAGTTCACTAGAATAAACACAGTCATCTTTGAAAGGTTTACAGAATCACTCATTTGTCTTTGAAGTTGCATTTTCTATATATTCATTTATGTACAGTGTCTCATACATGTTTACCATCACAGGGTTAAAAAATAAAAGCATCAAAGTCCCCAGCAATATCACTAAATGACGCTCTATCTGTCCTTTCTATGTGAAGAAAAATAAGGTTGAAGAACTTGCTATTTGAGCAAGTAACTATCCTGAAGACAATTTTAAGTCATTAGTCTAATGGTTTGTTACTGCATAAGCGATAAGATTAATAATTCTTACCTTTCCACTATATAAAGTTGATTAATCATCATTTAATATCAACATATCAACTTTCCAAAGCAAACCAACTCGGAAGGCACCCAGACCAAAGAAAAATTCATCCGCTGAAGAGACATTTCGTCTCTTGACCCACTCAATGAAATTCACTTGAACTAGGAAGGCATGGACAAAATCCCAGAAAAAAATTCTGGCATTACCTATATGGAAATGATGCTAGTAGTGAACTTGTCAATTCCGAGGGGAAAACACACCATATCTATGGTTCTGATTTATAATCCCCTGACCTAAAGTTCTATCAACACCTGATTTCTGTCTGGATGTGCATTAAAGTTATTTTCTTTTACATTCTGTGAACAATGTCAAGCACAAAAGGACGACAGTAGGCTAAAGGATGAATATGATGTTTTCTTTTAATACTTAAAAACATCATCATTCCCGAATCTGCTCAAAATATAACTCTGATAGTATACTTTATAGCCTTCCCCTCAGCTGCAGTTCTTCAAGGTTAATGTTGAAGTGAAATCTGAATTCTCATTTCCTAGCATGCAAATGAGGACATATTCTTATTCATGGTTTTGCAGGTGTTTTTCTTGTCTAAATTCTACATAATTTGAGTATATCAGGTTCAGCTGTCAGCTAGTAAAATTTTTAACCTTTTATATAAAACATGCCCAAAATACCTAAATTCATTTTGAAGTTTAGTCTTCTGGAGGTGACTTGAATGATTCATTACGACTTAGAATTTTTTTACACTTTTATTCATTTGTTTTTATTGTTGTATGGGGTGGAAGCATTTACAAAAGTTCTTACAATATATCAAATATATCATACATTAAAAATCAGAACCAGGGAGAAAAATTTAAACAACTGATCCATAGGTTTTCTAAGCTTTTCCCATCAAAATCCTATTTTTCTGTAGGATGTCCCAGGGCAGTTAAACGTCCCTATATTTTGAGTGCTGAAAACTAGTACTTATAAATCACTTTATTGTTTAGAAGCTGTAAACATCAACACACACTCAGCACTACCACAGCCACCACACATTTAATTTGTAAGACAGGAGTTACTCTTTTGAATTTGCATATGAAAAATGTGTTTCTGAGAACAAAGGTTTACCTCTTGATTCTGCTCTTTAAAAAATTTACTGTTTAAACTTTTAAAATATTAAAATATTTGGTAGTTTTACACACATTCCTGAAATCCATTGTGATTTTCATTGGAATTGCATTGAATGAAAAGATTTGGTATAGTAGCTGTAAGCACAGAATAATGAAATCTGTTAAAATTGTTTTGTAAAGGGGAAGGGAATAGCAAAGAGTAATAAAGAGGTGAACTGATCAAACTACACTATATATGTGTATTGAAATATTACAATGGAATCCCTTTTACAAATAATTTGCACAAATATAAAAGAGTCATAACAAACACTAAAACCAAATTGATTCTATCTACTCAAGAACATAGTATATATCAACATTTTTGAGATTTTTTCTTTAATAAAAAAATTAATAAATGTTTTGATAATATATAATATATTGAGCCCCCTTCTAGAACTTTGTTTCCTTTTTTCTTGCTATTATGGAAAAGGCTACTTTCAAATTTCATGTTGTAAAAAGTCATAACTTATGAATAGTTGCACTTTAATATTGTATTCAACAATTTTGCAAAATATTTATCCTTTTGATAATCTTACTACTATTTCTTTGTAGACTGAATTGGTTTATACATAGATAAAAACACTATCTCTAAGAAAAGAAAATCTGTTTTGTCTTTTTGACACAAATTTTAATAATTTTATCTTTTCTCGTGGTACTGGCTATTAATTCCAATACAAAACTTAGCATCAGCATCAGCATAAGAGAATCTGTCTACGTTTCACCAGTAACCATAACGTTACTACATTTGCTTAGTGCACACTTCTTATTTGATTATTATCATTTCCCTTCACACATATTTTGATGCAGCGAACATCTGTTAATAGTCAAAGTTCAATCAGGAGAAAGATCACACAGAAATTTGACCAAAAAATCATTACAGATGAAGAACAATTGACTATAACAGGCCATAGAATAATAAAAGATCAATTATAAAGAAGTAAGTTGTCTCAAAAGAGTAGCATATATTAGTCCTTAGGACTAGTATTAGAATATACCACCAAACTAAGAACCCTCTCTCACTTGTACTCTCTCTCCCTCTCTCTCTCTCTCTCTCTCTCTCTCTCTCTCTCTCTCTCTAATTTATAATACCACACAGTATTTATAAATACAAGAATTACTTCTTATCTGATTTTCCTCTAGAACATGCCAGGTTCTTCCCTAAATAATCTATGGATCCAATGATTCCACACTTTTGCACCTACACCTCAGCCACCACAGCACCAAAACAGAGGCCCGTCTCAGCTTACTGGTTCCCAGAATCAGGACAAATGAGTGGCCTGAAGGAAAAGCAACTCCAACAGTCCAGATGAACACATGGATCATATATCTCTCCTGAACCCCAGAGCTCCAACTGTTTACAAAAAGAAACAGAAAGAAAATGGTATACAGTAAGAGAGAGGCAGTCACAGTCTGCAAGGCTTTTATGTGCGCCATGGTGCTGCATCTCTGGATCCATTGGCATTGTGCTGCATCTTCTTCAAATGTTTCAACAGGGAGAAGATTAGCAGGAGAAAAGTTGTCCCAGACACAGTAAAGGGCACCAACAGGAACATAGGGTTGGTAAAAAAATAAAGTTTGGAACAATGTGATGAGTTACTTGGACTGGAACTGTAGGACATATTTCTTTTAGATCCATATATGCAGATATCAAAATATGTGTTTGTAACTGTAATATTCAAACTCAGGAGAACCAGAGACACCAACATAGTCACCAGAACCACCTTTTGAACTCTAAATTTAAGATAGAGAAAAATAGAGTTAGAAAAATGGGCTATCTTGAGAAAATAAAAGATGCTGAGGCTTGTAGCAAGCCAGAGACAAAAATGATTAGTCACTATCCAGGTGGTATAATTAATTCTCCTCGTTTTTCCAGTATTCCATAAAGCTGGGGAAAGTACAGATGTCCACCAATCTAATAATACTACCCAGAGCAGAGCAATTCTGGAGATGGCCAAAGCTGTGAGGATTCGATCAACTGAAGACATCTTTCTTCTCTTGACCCAGTCCATGCAGTTCACCAGGGCTATGAATCCATTTCCTAAAACTCCCATTATAAATTCCACACTTAAAATTGTCACAAATGTGCTCTGTGCAGCGTCACCCATTGTCTGTAAGGGAAGGCCTCAGGTTCTAATGTCACTGCTGAAAATTTGTTAATATTCCCTTTATAACTTTCATATGCAATATTAAACAAACAAACATCAAGATTTCCTAGTGATTTAGTTCATAAATTTCTTCATGAAAAACTTGCAGTTTCCCAAACCATGCAAAAAAAAGTCATCCAGTTACTGTTATTTTCCACAAAGTAGTCTGCAGTCTTTTGTAGTCAAGGATGAAGGAAGTGTTGTATTCCCATGTGCTGACATGCAAATAAAGATTTATTTATTTGCATTGACTTTCTTTTTGCTTTCTCTACATATGTTAATCTGGTTACTTGAGTTCTTGGCAAGGAATATTACAAATTGTAACCCATATAGAAGGTAGTAAGGATCTAACCTGATGTATGGAACTTCCTATTTGCTGTGATTCTTTAAACTCTTCCAAATTAGGTCTACACACAGACCTATGCCTATGCTGTCCAAAGCTCTGCCTACAAACTGTCAGTTATCCCAGTAATCTGGTAAAAAGATTTTTACCAGATTTCTTGGTTTCTTGAATGCATTATTCTAACAATAATACTAACCATTTTGCCTTTTAGAAAGGCATGCATACTCAGAGACATACACAAACTTACCTATAGTACCCACTTATTTGAATACAAATCCTTTTTTTTACTTCCATTGCAATTATTGCTTACTCAGTCAACATTTATTATACATCTTGCTTGGTCTTAGTGGACATTGTTTAAAAACTGCCCTCAAGTATATATTGTAGATTACTAAAAGTAAATATCCAGGAACCTTACATTATTTTTTGTCTGTACTTCTGAAAAGAGGTAGAAATCTCTTTGCCTCCCTAAAGCAGACATGGAGATGAATGAGTTCATCCACACAGCAAGAATCCTCCTCATCCTCGGTCTCCCTTGCCCAGTCAGGGTAACTCTCCATTAGAACAAAACACTTGCAGATTTTATCCACCTCTCCTCACCTTCAACATCTGTTCCATGATCATCACTGTAGGAATCAAGGGAAACAAAGAATTAAATGACGCCTGGTCGAGATGGGGAATGAGCAGTAGGACACAATTGTTTCTCTACTACTCTTACAGAGTAAGTCAGGGACCAAATTCACCAACAACTAAAACACAGTGGGCAAATATGTGTTTGGTATAAACCTCACAGAACGCAGATTAAAAACATGGGTTATTCCAGTGTATAGTGCTGACTCCATCTTCAGTGCCTTGGAGAATACTGAGCAAAGAAAGTGAATACGTGTACATTGAAAACCCTCACAAATATGCTATAATTTAAAGAGAGAAATATAAAGATGGCATAACAGGATACCATGGAAATTTTTAAGGAAAAACTCTGCAGAATACAAGCACAAACATATCAAGAGTATAGAAACGGGTAGTTCAGTCTGACTTAACTCTCTCCAGGTCATGAAGATAAACCCTAGAAGGAAGACAGAGAAATTCAGACAACATGAGGAATGGGGCTGCATGGAGTGGGTGCTGGTACTAGAACCTCAGAGGCTCTTAGAAAAGACACAGAACTTGGTCCCCATACTCAGTCCTAAGGGGCTTCCCTGAGCCCCACACTGCATCTTTTACTTTGGATCAGAAACACTTTAGTTTTGCACTTGAGCAGCAGCTCCTAGGAAAGCACAGGTGAGAGTGACAACAAAATTAGTCTCCTAAAATTACAAGCTAAAATCAAAACAAGTCAGCTCCTGAGGGGCAGTGCCTTTCAGAGTCAGTGTTGAGTCTAAACATTGTCTTTTAAGTAGAAAGCCACAGTTCCTCACCCAATTCTGAGCAATGAGTTCATTCAGTGAATCAAAGTACAATGACTGATAAGCTGACAGTGCAACAGAATATATAAATATAAATTATAAATACTTCAAATGGAGGACAAAATTTAATTCATATATCAAAAAAATATGGCTTCCTAAATCTGAAAATTTCCTAACCTACTTTGTATTTTAAGTCTTTTCAAAAAACATTAATGGTATGTTTTTTTTAAAAAGTATGTTTTACAAACTTTCTTATATTTTTCATACATCCTTACAAAAACAAAGTCATATATCCTTTTATGTATAAAGCATGGAATAGACTTTCTAAGAATACCTTTGGAAATTATTCAAAATACACAAAGTCTTGAAAAAGTGGCAGGAAGCATAAAGTTTATGAACCCATTAATTGGATTTCTACTAGAAGTCACACTCTGTGACTATGGTTTATGGACATGAAGGTTTCCATTTTTCATGAATTTCCTCACCTACAACAGAAGTGAGAGAAAGACTTGTTTTAGCTTCTTGTTTCCCCAAATCTGGCTTGAAAAGCAGGTGCCAGTATGCCAGCAAGACAAAAGGGTTAGTTCATTCAAAAGTCTTTTAGAACTCCAAGCTGATATAAGAGGAAGGAGAGAGAGAGAGAGAACCACACTTAGCAAAACCTTCATGTAAACCTCGGTGCTGGAATCTTGACCATTTGCCATTCAGCCACATCTTCTTGGGAGCTTTGTACAGGGAGTGGATTGACAGGAGAACACAGATCTGTTATGAAGTAAAGGCTGTGAAGTTGACCAGAGTGAATATGGTCATATCTTCAAGGTTTATAATGGCCCCCAATTTGAACTTCCAAGTCATGTTTCCTTCATATTCTTATACCATACTTGATTACTAGAGCAGATGAAAACCAGCACCACCCCTAACAGTAGCACTGCAAAGACACTCTTACTCTTCTCTTTAGGTGAAGAAAAATGTTGGTGGGAAAATTTTGTCTTAAGCAAATAGAATATGCCGAGTATATTTAGCAACTCATGGACCAAAATTGTTGCACACCCCCCAGCCAATAGGACCAATAACTCCTGCTGGTGTACTATATGAACCAGGGAAAATCATAGTTGGCTATCAGTATATTAACTTTCACAAATCAAAATAACTCTGGAGATGACAAAAACAGAGACAGTTCAATCACCTGAAGTGGGCTGTGTTCTCCTGATCTAGTCAGTGCATTTTATCAGTGCTGTGAAGACCTGGGCAAATTTTCCAAGAATAAGTTTGTATTACTAGAATAGAAGCAATGTTCAGTGATAAACTTACCATATCTGAAAAAAAAGTCAAGATAATATCCCTGGCTGTGATTTCTTAATCTCTGACCTAAACTTCTATCATCACTTATTTCTGGAGGTTCAATTAGGTTCCTGTTTTCTTTTAAATTCAGTGATAGCATTTAAGCACACAGTAGTCTAATAAATGATTCAAAGGTGTTTTATGGAAACATTTTTATTAGCAAATAACTCAAAATAACTCCTATGCATATTGACCATAACCTTACCATAGTTTCCAAAGTAGCAGATGGTAGAGTGAAACCTGAGTTCTTATTTGCTAGCATGCAAATGAAAACATATTTTCTTTCATTGTTTTGTATTTTTGTCTTCTCTAATCTCTACATAATTTGAGTGTACCAAGTTTAAATGTCAGCTAGTAAAATTTTAAACCCTAATACATAAACCAAATTGATGGATGAAACTTAATGATCAGGACATGACTTGAGTGAGGGTTTAACAGTGTTGTTTCATCCATGTAATGGTGTTTAAAGAAACTAAGCTGCAAGTTTTCCAAATTTTCCTATCAAATAATTCTCACTTTCCCACAAGGAATCTCTAAAAACTTGGGTTCTCGTCACTAGTATTTATAGAGAACTTTATTGTTTACAAGCCATAAACACAGACACACATTCATTATTATCGCCATCTACATATTTCAATTGACTTCTGAGAAAATGCTAAGGAACAACAATATATGAAATATTATCCTGTAATTTCCAAAATGAAAAATGAATCTTAGAGAATTTATTGAGATTTAAAACCCCTTCTTTTACACTCTAGCCTCTTAATCAATAATATTAACAAGTATGTCTCTTACACAGAAGTCTTTCAGAAGGGGTTTTATCTGAACAATATTTAGTATTCAATTTTTCCAGTTTAGTGAAAAGATCCAGGAACTTTATGGTATTCCCGAAATCTATCATAGGTTTCATTGGGATTACTTTTGGCCTTGGGATTTACCTAAGAATTACATATGTATTTACATTTACTCAGGTCTTCTTTTATTTTCTTCAATACAGCTTAGTAAATATCTCAATAAAATAAGATCTCTAGTCATAAAACATGATATCTAGACCCCATCTAGTTTCTATTGGTACTGTGCAAAAATCTGCTTTCAAATATCAGATTATCAATAGTCATTTCTGGTGAATGCCTATATCTTAATATCATATTTGGAAATTTTTTAAAGCATACTTATTCTATTCCATAATCTCAGTATTTTTTTCTTTGTGGATTACATTGAATTATTCATATGTAAAAACACAATCTGTTTTCTCATTTTCATTGAAATGTGATTTATTAAAAACTTTATTAAAAATTTTTTTAAATTGTAGCATTAATGTAAGATTCCACATTTCACCATTAATCATAGTATTTCTGTATCTGTTTACTGTATACCTTTTATTGAGTTATTGTAATGTATTTCCACATATATTCTGAGGCTTATAGCAAGCCATTAGTCTAATGGTTGGTTATTGCAATAAGAATAGCAATTCTTACTTTTCTACTACATAAAGCTGGACTATTCATAGTTTAATATCAGCATATTAACTTTCTCAAAGCAAAACAATACTGAAAGCAGCCAGACCAGAAAGAAATTCATCAGTTGAAGAGATATTTTGTTTCTTGACCCACTCAATGATACTCACTTGAACTAGGACGACATGGACAAAATTTCAAAAAAAAAAAATTCTGCCATCACTTGTATGAGAATCATGCTAGTAGTAAATTTGTCAATTCTGGAGAGAAAATCCAGCTTAGCTATGGTTCTGATTTATAATCCCTTGACCTAAAGTTCTACCAGCACCTGATTTCTGGATGTGCATTAAATTGTTTTCTTTTACATTCTATGAACAATGTCAAGCACAGAAGACCCACAATAAGCTAAGAGAAGAATTTGATGTTTTCTTTTTGAACTTGAAAACACTATCATTCCCAAATCAGCTCAAAATATAACTCTGATAGTATACTTTGTATCCTTCCCCTCAGCTGCACTTCTTCAAAGTTAATGTTGGTGTGAAATCTGAATTCTCATTTGCTAGCATGCAAATGAAGACATATTCTCATTCACGGTTTTGCAGGTGTTTTTCTTGTCTAAACTCTATATAATTTGAGTCCATCAAATTCACGTCAGCTAGTAAAATTTTTTAACCTTTTAAATAAAACATGCCCAAAATATCCAAATTCATCAATGAGCCTTATTCATATGGTGGTGACCTGTACAATTCACTGAAATTGAGAATTTATTATAAAAAAATAATGAAATTGGATCCAGGGAGAAAAGTTTAAACAACTCATCCAAAGGTTTTCCAAGTTTTTTCTATCAAAACCTTCCTACTTTTTCTTTAGGTAGCCCTAGGACATCTGAACTCTTCTATATTTGGATGAGGGAAACTAGTATTATACATAGTTTTATTGCTTAAAAGCAATAAGCACATATACCCACCCAGCACTACCACAGCCACCACAAGTTTTATTTGGATTTTGAGAACAATTCTAAACATCTGTAAGACATGAGTTATTGTATGGAATTTGCATATGAGAATAGTTTCTGATAGGTAAAGTGACCAAACCTATTGACTTCACAATTTAAAGGTTCATTGTTTAATTAAAATATTTGGGAGTTTTATAGAAATTCCTGAAATTCATTGTGATTTTCATTGAAATTGCATTGGACAAAATATTTGGACACAATAGCTACATGCATGTATATCAGTAGACAAATGAAGCCTGCTAAAGTTCTTTTTAAAAGGGAGAGAGGAGTAAGAAAGCAATAGATTGACTTTGGAAATAAAAATGAAGGACAGGACTGTAAAACAGGTCCTGTAAGGGATGGGTTTCTTTGAGAGGGGGAGGATGAATGGAGGTGATAAAGTAGGGTAAATATAGTTGATGTATTTAATATATACATTTATATATACTAATAGAACAATGAAAAATAACATAGTAGATGTGTTAAATTGATTAAATTACACTATATGCATGTATGGAATTTAAAAAAAAACCATTTGTGTAATTATTACACACTAATAAAAAGAATCCAAAAAAAGTATTTGGTTCTATTTACTCAAGAACTTGGTATGAATCAACATTTTTCAAATCTTGTTGTTTTCCTTAACACAGATTAGTAAATGTTGTGATTAGGTGTAATATATTGGACTTATTACAAGGCCCCTTCTAGGTTTTTTTTATCAGCTACTATAAAAAAGGCTACTTTCAAATATCATGTTCTGACAGTCATCTCTTGTGAATAGTGTATCTAATTATTTTATTTGTTGCTAAATATTTATTATTTTAATAAGTATTTATTTCCTTGTAGATTGAATAGGATTGAATTATCTCTAAGAAAACATTATCTCCAAGAAAATTATGTTTTCCCTTTTCATCCAAATTTTCCTATTTTTTATCTTTTCTTATTGTGCTGACTAATAACTTCAATATGAAACTTAATGATGGCATTAGCAGAAGAGAGTCTACATTTCACCATTAACCATAATGTCACTATATTTGTTTAGTACACACCTCTTAGTTGGTTATTACCATTTCCTTTCACATAAATTGGTTTTGTGAAAAAAATGATCAGATGGTATTTCAACATCTGTCAATAGTTACAGTTCAATCAGAAAACAAACCACACAGAAATTTGACCAAAAATATCATTGAAGACGAAGAACTATTGACTAGAACAGGCCACAGAATAGTGAAAGATTGATTAGAAAGATGTAAGTTAACTCAACAGAGTAAAGAAGGAATAGGATATACCACCAAACCAAGAACATCTCTCAATCTCTTTCTCTTTCTCTCTCTCTCTCTCTCTCTCTCTCTCTCTCTCTCTCTCTCACTCTCTATTTCTCCCCCCTCACCCCTCTCTGTTTCACACACATGCACATAAACACACACACACACACACACACACACACACACACACATACATGAATAAGAACAAAACCCTATAATAGGATGACCCAGTCATGGTTAACTGAGCTTATTCACCAGAAACATGTGGAAATCCATTGCCTACACCTGATCACAAATCCTCCTTGTTGTTATGAAAACTGCTTACAGTCAGAAGACTTGCCAGAGCTGTTCTGTGTTTTATTATTCTGTTTCTAATACTACCTACACACGCTTTTTTTATCTGCATTGACTTATACGAGAAAATTTCGTTTTTATCTTCACCTATTTAATTTTTCATTTCTATGTCATTAATTTCTTCTTTTGTTTTTACTGCTGGCCTTCCATTTCCAGAGGTTTCACATCAGCAGAATCAAACAACTTCAGATAAAAAAAAAACCAGAAAATAGTGTTTCGTTACTACTGAATATATGCAAAACCCTTATCTTGTTACTATTCCCTAAACTATTTCCTGACAACTATTTATACAGTATTTGTGTTTATCATTACAAGTCTAGACATGATAGAAAGTGTAAGGGAGGATCTATACAAGTTATATGCAAATATTAAGTCATTTTTATATAGCAATTAAGCTTCTATGGATTGTGGTATCCATAGAGAATACTGAAGCCAGTCCCCATAGACACCAGTGGATGCCCATCTATGGGGACTGCAATGCAGTACGGATGTAAGCTATAGAATCAGATTGCTTGTACTAACAATTTTATTTTGCCATTGTCTTGCTATGGGATCTTGGCCAAGGTACTTAATCTCTTTTACTTTCCTTTTCCTTGTGACCAAAAGTGGTGGCACTGTCTTCAGGATTAAACACAAAAAGCCCTGAGCCTAGTTTTCTCTATATAATACACTAAGTAAACATTTTTCTTCTACTTCATTGATTTCCAGTTTTTAAAGATTATTTTGTCATTCATTTTTATCTGTTTTGGTTAAATATCCAAGCCATTTACCTCTTAAACATTTTTTCACAAGTGTATTCATAGACATGAATTTTATAAATTTGGATGAAATTTATAAACATCAACTTCATGCTGTCTTTATTGCTCAATATGAAGTGGAGCTTAATTGTAATATGGTGTCTTTTTTCTATTTTACCTATGATTGTACTAGAATATTATTTTTGTCCCAACTTATAGAATTGTATCAATATTATTATTAATATTTTATTGAAGTGTTACTTAATTGTGACAATAAGAGAATATATTCTGTGTATATTGATAACTTTTTGGCTCATTAATAGTATGTTTTTGAGAAAGTTAAATGTTCCTTTGAAATGGTCATGTGTCCTCCATTGGTAAAAGACTATACATTTATCAATTAGATTAAACTTACTGAGTTAATTCACATCCTCATAATTACCAGTTCTGCTTGTTCTATCAGTTTGTAACACACTTAATATTTTTACTGTGTAGTGATTTAGAATTTCATCAAATTTTAATAATTATTTGGGGGAATGTTGAAGACAAGATCTGGGTACATAACCCACACTGGCTAGAACTGGAGATATTCTTGCCTCAGTTTCCCAAATGGTGGAATTACACTTGTGTACCACCATAATTGGAAATTCTAATAAATTTGATTGCTTTATTTTGGTACTCTATTTTTTAAAATACTGATGGCCCTAAATTTTTGTGCTTTATTTATCATTTTTTCCTTAAATTAGTTCAAATATCTTTCATTAAATATTGATACTTTGATCTAATAGAGTATTTCTTTTCATATAGCATTGTTCCATACACCTTTATGTGTTGGTATTTTAGTTCAGAATTAAACTTCACATTATAAGGCTATAAAACTGAGTAAAAGGTCAGTGATTTAATTAAATGGAACTTTATTTATCTTCCCTCTAACAAAAGCACCCACAGTTTAGTAAGTTTCTCGTTTTAATATCTCAGAAAAACTAATTAGTGAAACAAGTTCATGTTACTTGTTATAAAAATTTCTTGCATTTCAAATGACCCCATTCATATCCTTCTGTGTTTAAGGATATTAAAATACATACTTTTACATGTATACAAAGGTTGCAATGTGTTTGAGTAGTGCTTATTCCATAGGTTATCTTTCCATATTCAGAATGTTACATACAACAGAATATTTACAATACACAAATTTTAAAATGCAAGAATTACTTGTGATCTGGTTTTCCTCTAAAACATGAAAGGTTCTTCCCTAAATAACCTATGGAGCCAATAGTTACACACTTTTGCACCTACACCTCAGCCACCACAGCACCAAAACAGAAGCCCGTCTCAGCTTACTGGTTCCCAGAATCAGGACAAATGAGTGGCCTGAAGGAAAAGCAACTCCAACATTCCTGACAAACAAATGGATCAGGTATCTCTGCTGAACCTCAGAGCTCCAAACCTTTATAAACAGTGACAGAAAGAAAATGGTATACAGTAAGAGAGAGGCAGTCACAGTCTGCAAGGCTTTTATGTGCGCCAGGGAGCTGGCATCTCTGGATCCATTGGCATTGTGCTGCATCTTCTTCAAATGTCTCAACAGGGAGAAGATTAGCAGGAGAAAAGTTGTTCCAGACACAGAAAATGGTATGAACATGAACATAGGGTTGGTGAAGGAAAACAATTTGGAAAGTTGTGCATAGTTACTTGAACTGTTACTGTAAGACGTATTTCTTTTACATCCATCCATACGCATATCCATATATGTGTTTATTGCTACAATATTCCAAAACAAGACAACCAGAGACACCATCATAGTCACCAAAACCACCTTTTGAACTCTAAATTTAAGATAGAAAAAAATAGAGTTAGAAAAATTGGCTATCTTAAGAAAATAAAAGATGCTGAGGCTTGTAGCAAGCCAGTGACAAAAATGATTAGTCACTGTCCAGGAAATATAAATAATTCTCATCATTTTTCCAGTCATCCATAAAGTTGGGAAAAGTACAGAGACCCACCAATCTAGTAAGACTACCCAGATAAAACCAATTCTAGAAATTGCCAAAGCAGTGAGGATTCGATCAACTGAAGACATCTTTCTTCTCTTGACCCAGTCCATGCAGTTCACCAGTGCTATGAATCCATTTCCTAAAAATCCCATTATGAATTCCACACTTAAAATGGTTGTGAATGTGCTCTGTGCAACACCACCCATTGTCTGTAAGAGAATGCCTCAGGTTCTAATGTCACTGCTGAAGATTTGTTTATATATTCATCTAAAATTCAATCTATGTCTAATTCTTAAAAACATGAAGCATACTCCCTTTAAAACTTGCACATAAAATATCAAATAAGCAAACAAGATTTCCTAATGACTCAGTTCATACATTTCTTCACAAAAAACTTGCAGTTTCCCAAACCATGCAGAAAGTTCATCCAGCTACTGATATCTTCCACACCATACCTGGAGTCCTTTGTAGTTGATGAAGGAGATGCTGGGTTGCCATATCCTAGCATGTAAATAAAGATGTATTTATTTGCATTGATTTTTCTTTTTTGCCTTATCTATTTATTTTAATCTGAATACTTAAGATCTTGGCAAGGAACATTACAAATTCTAATCCATATAAAAGGCAGTAAGAATCTAAACTGTTGTATAGAACTTCCTAATCACTGTGATTCTTTTGTTGCTTTTGAGACTGTGGTTTGGAACTCAGGACATCATGCTTGGCGAAGCAGGTGCTCTACCACTTGAGCTATACCTCCAGTCCAGTGTGATTCTTTAAACACTTTAAAATTAAGTCTATACACAGACCTATGCCTATGTTGTCCTAAATTCCTCCTAGAAACTGTTGGTTATTTCTAATAATCTTTTAAAAATCATTATTGAATGCCTTATGCCAAGAATACTTACCATTTTAGTTTTTAGAAAGACATGCATACTCACAGACATACACAAACTTATCCATAAAAGCCCATTTATTAGACTTCACTTTTTCTTACAGTGCAATTATTGCTAACTCACTCAACAGTTTTTATGCACCTTGCTCATACTTAGAGGTATATGGTGAAGACATTGCTTAAAAATTGCTCTCAAGTATGTATTGTAGATTATTAAATGTAAATATTCATGAACTTTAAATTATTTTAATAAGGGTTTTTTTTCCCTTATTAAAACAGGGAAAAATATTATAGGAAACTGAAACAGAGACACGAGACTCTGAGGCAAGGAAGCGACACTTTATTGTGCTGGCACAGACTCAGCGGACTCGTGTCCAAATCTGAGCCCTGAGAAGAAAGGGGTCTCACCTTACATACCCTTGCAAGCAGATTACAGACGCAAAAAGCAAGGTTTAACCCATATATAGTTACATGTAACTCTATTGGCTACTTCACCCCCAGTGCTACATGACCTTCTTCATGTTTTAGATTTAGTTTCATCTCTCTGCTATGCCATTCCTTCCCCCCTGCTACGTTATCAGAGCACAGGCCTGTCTGTTTCTTTTCTGGCCCTCCTCCCTGCTACAAAATCCCTTTGTTCTCCCTATGTCAGATATATAGATGAATGAGTTCATCCACATAGCAACAAGGCTCCTCCTCCTGAGCTTCTTCTTGCCCAGTAGTACAAATTTTCCCATTAGTACAAAAGCTTCAGATATAATCCACCTCCTATCGCCCCCAACATTTGTTTCATGATCGTTGATATGGGCACCAAGGAAAATGAAGGATTATAAACTGTCAGGTTGATATGGGGAATAAGGAGCATGACAAAATTGTTCCTCTTCAACAGTTAAAGAATAAGCCAGGGACCAAGGAAACGAATTCAGCAACAACAACCAAGACAGTAGAAAAATGTATGTCATGAACCTTACAGATTGCAGAGAAAGATACGGGGTATTGCAGTATATACAGCAGACCCCATCCTCAGTTCCTTGAATACTGAGCAAAGAAAGTAGATCCATATATATTGAAAATCTTCACAAATGTCCTATAATTTGAGGATAGAAAGATGGAGAATGCATAAAAGGATAGCGTAGGAAAATTTTAAGGAAAAACTGCAGAATATAAGCACAAACATATCAAGAGTATAGACACAGGTAGTTCAGTCTGACTTGACTCTTTCCAGAAAACAAAGTTAAACTCTAGAAAGAAGACAAAGAGAAATTCAAAACAATCTAAGGAGTGGGACCATATGGAGTGGGTGCTGGTACTAGAACTTCATAGTCTCTTAGAAAAGACACAAAACTTGGATCCTCACACTCAGCTGTGAAGAGCTTTCCTGACACTGTACCTTTCACTTTGGATTAGAAACACTTCAGGTTTGCACTTGAGCAACAGCTCCTAGGGAAAGACAGTCTTTTCCAGACAAGGTAAGAATATCAACAAAATTAGTCCCCTAAATTTACATGCCAAAAGCAAAACAAGGCAGCTCCTGAGTGAGGGGCAGTGACTTTCAGAGTCAGTGTTGAGTCTGAACATTGCTTTTAAGAGGAAAGCCACAGTCCCTCACCCAATTCTGGGCAATGAGCACATTCAGTAAACCAGAGTACAATGATTGATAAACTGACAGTTCTATAAACATATAAATATAAATCATAAGTACTTCAAGTAGAAGATAAATTATAATATGGATGTGAAAAACACATGGCTTCTAATTCTGAAAAACTTCCTCACTTATTTTGCATGATTAGGCTTTTTACAAGAAAAAAATCAGTGTATGTTCTTTTCTTTTTAAAAAGGGTGGATCTTTGACAAACTTTCTTTTAGTTCTCATATGTGTACCCAAACGCACAAATTTGTATATTCTTTTATTTATAAGCATGAGTCATGGACTTTTTAGGAATATCTTTACAAATTATTCAAATACATAAATTCGTGAAAAGGTGGCAGAAAGATAAAGGTGATTGACTACAAGATAAAGGTGATTGACTCCATCAATTTCATTCCTACTAAAAGTCACACCATGTATCTTTTTTGTTCTATGGGCATCAAGGTTTTCATTTTATCATGCTGTACCTCACTTGCCACAGAACTGACAGAAAGGTCTATTCTAGCTTCTTGTTTCCCCAAATCAAGACAGAAGAATGGCAAAACAAGATGGCTGGTTCCTTCAGCAGGCTTTTAGAACTCCAATCTGATGAGAGAGACACAGAGAAGAGACCACATTTCATAAGCCTTTGCTATGAACCTTGGGACTGGGAACTTAGGGTCCTTTGCTACATGTTCCTGGGATGTTTATACCGGGAGTGGATTAACAGAAGGACACAGACCTGCTGAAGATCTGTGAAATAGCAGGTATGAAGTTCACTAGAGTAAATGCAGTCATTTACAAGGCTTATACTGTACCTCAACTTGGTCTTGCAAGTCAAGTTTCCTTTGTATTCTTACACTTGCATAGTCTCACTTGTGCTTACCATAGAAAGTCAAAAACCAGCACTCCCAATAGTATCACTGCAAAGACACTGTTGCACATCTCTTTAAGTGATGAAAACCATTGTTGGAGAAATTTGCTGCTTCAAGCAAATAAAATACGCTACATGAAGTAGCAACCCAGGTATCAAAACAGATGGATACTGCCCAGTCAACAGGAAAAATAACTCTTACTTGTGCACTTTATGAACCAGGGTGAATCAGTAATATTAACTATCACAAAGCAAAGTAACTCTGGAGATGATCAAAATGGAGAGAGTTCAATCACCTGAGAAAGCTTCGATCTCCTGACCCAGTCAGTGCATTTTATCAGTGCTGTGAAGACTTGGGCAAAATTTCCAAGAAAAATCTTCTTATTACTAATGTAATGTGATGTTCAGTAGTAAATGTACCTTGTGTGAAAAGAAAGGTCAAGACTAATATCCCTGGTTGTGATTTCTTAATTTCTTGGCCTAAACTTCTATCAGCAGTTATTTCTAGATGTGCAATAGCATTCATGTGTTCTTCCAAATTCTGTGACCATATTCAAACAAAAAAGCACCATGAAGTGCAAATGAGTGCGTGCAAAGGTATTTTACAAGAAATATTTTTATTACCAAACAACTCAAAATAACTCCTATGCATATTTTCCATGATCTTGCCCTAGTCTGCAATATAGAAGGTAGTAGAGTGAACTTGAGTTCTCATTTGCTAGCATGCAAATGAAAACATATTTTCTTTCATTGTTTTGTATTTTTGTCTTCTCTAATCTCTACATAATTTGAGTGTATCAAATTTAAATGTCAACTAGTAAAATTTTAAAACCAAATACACAAGCCATACAGTAAATGCCTAAATTGATACATGGAATTTACTTATCAGAACATGACTTCGATGAGGGTTTATTTTAATAGTACTGTTACATCTATGTAGAAATATTTAAAGAAACTGATATGTAAGTTTTCAGATTTTACTATCAAATAAATCTCACTTTCCCATAAGGAATCTCAAAAAAAGAATTGGATTCTGGTCATTAGTGTATATATATATGTGTGTGTGTGTGTGTGTGTGTATGTGTACATATATATATATATATATATATCACTTTATTGTTTACAAGCCATAAACATAGACATACACTCATTATCACCATCCATATATTTCATTTGGCCTCTGAGACAATTCTAAGGAACTATAAGATATGAAATATTGTCCTATAATTTCCAAAATGAAAATCTTGGAGAATGATTGAGATTTAATACATCTTCTTTCACACTCAGTCTTCATAAATCAATAATACTATTAACAAGTTTGTTTCTCACACTTCACTATTTAGAAAGGGTTTCATCTAAACTATATTTAATACATAATTGTTTCCAATTTAATGAAAAGATCTAGGAATTTTACAGTATTCCTGAAATTCATTGTAGATTTCATTGGGATTACATTGGACATGAGGATTTTGACACAATAACTACCTCAAGGAATTGATATGATCTATGTCAGAATAATATATATATATACATTTACTCAGATATTTTATGTTGGTCAGTACAATTTAGTAAATATCTCAATAAAATATGAAACATTTCCAGGTCCCATCTAGTTTCTATTGCTACTATACAAAAGATCTACTTTCAAATATCACATTCTTAATAGTCATTACTGGTGAATAGCAATATCATCTTTAGCAATTTTTCTAAATATATTCTATTTGATAATATGACATTGGATTATCCAAAGGTAAAAGCATATCTCTAAGAAAAATAAAGCTGGTTTTGTCAGTTTAATTCAAACGTTACTTTT